TTCTGTTTGTTATAGTGTACCGCGCTCCTGGCCCATACTCTGATTTTATATCTGAGTTCATCTGAGTTTATCAAGTTTAGTCCTTAAAACAGATAAAGTCATTATTGTAGGTGATTTTAATATTCATGTGGATGTTAATAATGAGCCTCATTATTAGACTCAATTGGCTTCTGTCAGAGTGTAAATAAACCCAGCAAAAATCTGAAACAAACAGAAATTGATAACAGACATTAACTGGAGATATATTACTAACAATAATAATACAATCATATTCTAAAGTAAAGACCTGTGCACGCTAGGATTTTACCTGGAAGCATTTATTAAAAATTGATTTGGGTTCAAGGTTTTGGTCACGTAGAAATAGAAAAATGTAAAATTTACAGTCACATGGTTTAAACATTCACTGTTTCATATTTTTTAACTTTTAAACTGGAATCAAATAATTGATAGTCATTTTGATTTTATTGCATTCATTTTAAACTCAAAACTCCAACTTTTAAACATTCCTGAAGGTTTAACAAAGGTTCGCATAAAATTGAAGGAGAACCAGCCAATTAAATTTGTCTTGTTTGATCAGTTTCAACCATCCACATATATAAAGATGGCTGACATGACAGCTTTATGAACGTGAATTCAGACCTCTCTATGTCCCCTGGTGGTTAATGCTATAGACTCTGTCTATCTCCCCCTGGTGGAAGATGGCAGTGGCCGTATCCAGATTTTCTGGCTCATTAGGACAGTGAGAGGAAGTGTATGAGTTTCAGCTGCTTCCGGCTGGACTTAATGAATTGTTTTGTCTGTTTTTGTTACATTTTACAAGCTCTCATTTTACAATGTCTGCTTTTTGTGTAAAGCAGTTTTAAAACCTGATGGTGTGTTCAAGAATGCTAAAATTCTGCATTTATCTGGAAATCTGCTGAAAATAAAACATTCAATATCTTTGGCAGAGCGATTTCTTTGGTTTCATTCAAACACTTTTGGAATGAAAGTCTTTAAGTTTTGGTCTTTTTATTCTTTGATTGTTACAGGTCACAGTGTAGACATGACCTTTAATCCTAGAACAGACAGGTGCTGTAGACGGTGACCTTGTGGCTGATCTCCTGCAGCAGCTCCTTGACGGCGGCCTCCAGCTCCACCAGCTGCTCCGCCTTCACTTCCAGAGTCCGCTGGTTGTCTCCGTAGGACTTCTCCAGATCTGAAAGACACAAAGTTTGATTGAGTTTATTTTTTAAACTTTTGGGATTAAAAAGGATTTATCTTCACTCTCTTTTCTCATTCAATTCAATTCAATTCAATTCAATTCAATTTCCAATCCACACAGTGCTCTGCTCATGTGATGTTTTCTGTTTTAAATTTTTGAGGGTGGAGACAGGTGCGATGTCAGTGTGATGTCAGTGTGATGTCAGTGTGATGTCAGTGTGATGTCAGTGTGATGTCACCTTTAAGCAGCTGCAGTTTGTCGCTGGCCTTTAGCAGCAGCTCTTTGGCTTCCTGCTGCAGTGACTTTGCCCTCTTCTTTGCATCTGCGACGCCCCCTGCTTTCTGACCAACCAGCTGCTCCACTGAGGAATACTTTTCTTTCAGCTCTGAGTCCAGGTCCTAAATACACACACAAACCATCAGCTCTGTATTCATTAAGGCCTCCG